TTTTTTTTTTTTTTTTTGAGTTGGAGTCTTGCTCTGTTGCCCAGGCTGGAGTGCAGTGGCACAATCTCGGCTCACTGCAACTTCTGCCTCTTGGGTTCAAGTGATTCTCCTGCCTCAGCCCCCTGAGTAGCTGGGATTACAGGTGCGTGCCACTGCACCTGGCTAGTTTTTGTATTTTTAGTGGAGAATGGGGTTTCACCATGATGACCAGGCTCGTCTTGAACTCCTGACCTCAGGTGATCCTCCTGCTGTGACTTCCCAATAGGATTACAGGCATAAGCACCGCATCCAGCTGATGAGCTTCTATTTCTATAGTTAACTATTGTTATAAGCCTTTCCTTAGAGTTTGGTATAGAAGAAACATAATACCATTGAGATCTAAACTTATAGCAAATCCTTTGTTACTTTCTGGGCTGTGATGGTTAGTTATATGTGTTATCTTTGCTAGGCCATGGTAGCCAGACATTTGGTCAAACACAAGTCTGGACATTCCTGTGAGGTTATTTTTTAGGTGAGAATAATATTTAAATCAGTAGATTTGGGTAAAGCACATTACCCTCCATAATGAAGACTGGCTTCATCCAATCAGTTGAAGGTCCCAAGAGAAAAAAGAACAAGCTTCCCAGAAAGAAGGAATTTTGCTTCCAGACAGCCTTTGAACACAAACTATAATATCAAACCTTCCCACGCTGTCAGCCTGAAGATATATCCTGAAGATTTTAGACTGGCGAATCTCACAAAGTCATAAGCCAATTCCCTAGAATAAACTTACTTCTTTCTCTCTTCCTACCATTGGCACTATTTCTCTGTAGAACTCTGATTAACACAGTTTGTACCCAGAGTAGTTCTGGAGGAACAAAATCTTAGGGATAAGATTTCTGAGTTGATTATGGGGTTTATAAAATTAGTTCTCCAATCTGACTGGATAGCAGAGAGAGCACTAAAGGTCAATGGTGTGATATGGCAATAGAGATATGCAAAATATCACTATTGGATACATCCAATCAGATATTTATAAAAGGCAAAGTTCTGGGTGAATGAGTATATAATACTTTCACATTCTTTTGTCAAACTAATGAGTATAGTGAAATTGACTGCCTGCTTCTGTTACATTATTGCACTAGACCAAGTGGAAAAGAAGAGTTCAAGAGTTCAAATTCTAAGATCAAGAACTGCATAAATGATGTGAAAAACTTGTATGTCTGTCCTAAAAAAGACCCATATCTTCTGTAGTGGTAGAACTGAGGTATCTGATAACCAAATATAGAATCTTATGCTGTGAATTGGTGATTTACAATGTATATCAAATTCCCATCCTTGCAAGATGTGTACTGTTAAAGTGAGGGCATGAATTGAGAAGAAATGGGCTCTAGAAAATTGGAACAGGGACATATGAGATGATTCTGATGAAGCTGAGAATATAGAACACCTGAATTCTGGTGAGTCTTTTGCCAGTAAAGCAGCCACTTCACCTTTGACTGAGATTAACTCTTTCTCTAGTGGCATCTCCTGAGGTAAATGCCTTACAGGACAACAAAACCCACTCCAACAACTCCTCTTACTTTTATTTATTTACTTTAGAGAGGGTCTCACTCTGTTGCCCAGGCTGGAGTGCAGTGGTGTAATCCCAGCTCACTGAAGTCTTGACCTCCTAGGCTCAAGTGATCCTCCCACTTTAACCTCCCAAATAGCTGGGAATACAGGCATGTGGCACCATTTCTGGCTAATACACACACACACACACACACACACACACACACACACAGAGGCATGTGGCACCATGACCAGCTAATATATATATATATGTAATATTTTTTGTAGAGATAGGCTTTCACCATGTTGCCCAGGCTAGTCTCAAACTACTCCTGGGTTCAAGTGACCCACCCACTTTGACATCCCAAAATGCTGGGATTACAGGCATGAGCCACCACACCTGGCCCCTTTTTGTCTTCACCTTGACAGTCACATGAGCCAATTTCTTAAAATAAATTTTTTCTTTTGTATATGGTTTTAGAGGAAATGTAAATCTACAAATTTGGAGTTAAGTGAATGATAGCAGTCTACACTTTTGGGAATTTTAAGGTTTTAGGAGACTTTTTAAAAAAATGAGAATAATCTGCAGCAACTAAGTGCATCAGGCACAGAGAATTGATGAAAGTCTAAATTGTGAGACAATAAAGGTAAATCTAGCATTTGTATGGAAGAGTTTTACCATTGTCACATGCCCAGGTGCCCCTTTCAGTCTCTCTGAGCCTTCAGGACTCAGATGTCCCTTTGGTACTGATCACTTTTTTCAGGGCACCTTTGACATCCTTGTTCCTAAGGGTGTAAATCAAAGGGTTGAGTAATGGTGTGATAAAGGTGTAAACAAGGGCAAATTGGCAGTCCTCCTCTACAGAAGAGCTGGACTGGGGACGCAAGTATACCAAGGCACAGCAGCCATACTGCCGCAGGACCACGGTGAGGTGGGAGGAGCAGGTGGAGAAGGCACAGCGGCGGCCCTCGGCAGAACGGATGCTCAGGATGGCGCAGGTGATGAACATGTAGGAGACGCAGATAAGCAGAAAGGGGACTGTCAGCACGAGGATGCTCACGACATAGAGGACAGCCTGGTGCACACAGATGCCAGCGCAGGCCAGGCGCAGGACCAGAGGCACATCGCAGAGGAAGTGGTTGATTTCCCGGCGGTGGCTGTAGAAGGGCAGGGTGAAGATTAAGGCAGTAAGCTGCAAGGAGAGGAAGAGGGCCAGGCCCGTGGCCCCGCCCAGCATCTGCACGCACAGCTGGCGGGTCATGATGAGGGTGTAGTGCAGCGGGTGGCAGATGGCCACATAGCGGTCATAGAACATGATCGCCAAGAGGAAACAGTCAGTACCACCAAGTGTGAGAAAGAAGAACATTTGGGCCCCACATCCAGCCAATGGAATGGGCTTCTGGGCCCCAAAAATGTTGGAAAGCATCAAGGGCACAACAACCGTGTTGTAGCAGATCTCTGCAAAGGTCAGGTTGGACAGGAAGAAATACATGGGGGTACGGAGGGCGCTGTGTGTGCATACCACGCAGATGATGGCTGTGTTGCCACAGATGATCGTTAAGTGGGGAAGGAGGAAGAGAAGGAAGAGAAGAAACTGTAATTCAGGAACTGTGGTGAACACACGGAACACAAACTCCGTGGAGCCGGACTGGTTGAAGACAGGTTTCCATGCAAGCATGTCTTGTGCAAAAGGATAGGAGGCACAGAGCCCTCCTTGGCTGAGTTGCTTTATTGCCTGAGTAAAATAAAGAGGAAGGACTTTGTAGGACTTTGTTTCTGTGATGGGAATTACCTAACTGTCATTGAGATTCCTTTTATTTTATTTTATTTTTTGTGAGACAGGGTTTCACTTTGTCACCCAGGCTGGAGTGCAGTGGTGTGATCACAGTTTACTGCAGCCTCTACCTCCCAGGCTCAGGTGATTCTCTCATCTCAGCCTCCTGAATAGCTAGAACTACAGACACACTCCACTATTCCAGTTAATGTTTGTATTTTTCTGTAGTGATGGATTCTCTCTTTCTTGCTCAGGCTGGTCTCAAACTTGTGGGCTCAAGCTATCCTCTAGCATCAGCCGCCCAGGATGCAGGGATTACAGATATGAGTCACTGTGCCCAACCTGATAATCTAATTGTAATTAAACACATGGAATGATTTTCTTCGTAAATCTTCATCTGTATTTTCTTGAAGAGAAAGAAACATTTCTAAAGTGCTTCAAGCATTACACTTTAAAATAAGTTTAAGAGTAGAACAGTGGTTACTAGGGAAGTGAGGGAGAGGAGGTAGGAGAGGTAAGTCAAAAGGTACAAAATTGTAATGAAGAGCTAATCGAACTGGAAGAAGAAAGAGCTGCGGAAGAAGAAAGAAGAGAAGCAGAGAAAGAAGAGAGGGAGCCAGAAAGGAAGTTCCCCACTAAGGGATTATCAGACGGTTTATCTTTATTGAATAAACTTCTTATACATTTCGAAGCAATGGACCCAACCATCGAACGATTTGCAAGGATTGAACGGATGGCGCACAATGTGTTTCGTCCCTATCATGAAATTTATGAAGAGAAAAAGAAACACAATTCAGACAAAGCTCACCATGTTTATGAAAAAACCAACTCCGGTAACCCCAACTGCTGCCTCAGATGATGACATCAACGATCCGCAGCCAAGCACCAGCGGCCAATAAAATGTTTCGTACATGTTTATATATTTTGATATGTTTTGCAATTGGGAAAATGTTTCCTATGGTATTTTTTACACCTGTATTTTGTATTTTTGTATGCACCTGTATTTTGTAATTTTGTATGTTTTGCAAATATTAAACCAGTTGTACTGGTAAAAAAAAAAAAAAAAAAAGGTACAAAATTGCAGGTGTGTAGGATAAGTCCAGGATCTAATGCATAGCATGAGAATTAGAGTTAATAATTGTAGTATGCACTGCAAATCTGCTAAGAGTGTAGGTTTTAGTTGTTCCTACTGCAAGAAAATGCTAACTATGTGAGATGATGGATATGTTAATTTGCTTGAATATGCTAAATAATTCACCACGTATATGTATATCAAAACATCATGTTGTATACCTTAAATATACACAATAAAATGTAAATGTAACAAACATAAATTTATGGGTTAGCTCTCTGTTTCTGCTAAAGTTTCCTAGTTACAGAATGGTAAACATCTATAGATAAAATATTAGATGATTCAATCATTCTTATTAATCTCAGTGTTTCGGTGTTATAGAGGACTGGGAACACTGAGATAAATAAGAATGATTGATCCTAGTTATGTATTTATTTTAATTTATTGAAGTATTTTCTGTAAGACTTTGACTGTCAACACAACGTTTGAAATTCAAATAGATTGACATGTAAGGGTATTTAGATGCTTGACAGGCAGTCAAAAGAGTGGAGCTAGCTGAGATAAGGAAAGATGATGAGGAAACTAAAAATTCCATAGCAGAAAAAAATAAAATCTCTGCTGTCTAAAATGTAATTACTTTCAGGCAAAGTTTTTATCTAAAATATCTGTTTTATGACATAACCTAGGAGATGATAGATTACTATCCAAAATGTTTTAAGAAAAATACAGCATTCTGATCAAGGAATCCTATGCTCGATTGAGTTGTTGGAACTTTTGAGATTTGCCAATGCTCTGGAATTCTGTCCTTTATATCTATGCTGAAAACAACTTAAAAAATTTAGTTGGTTAAAAAAATCAAAATTAAAATTAAATATTGGGTATTTGTGATACAAAAGAAAAGTGAAGAATGAAAGCATAGTAAAACATAGTTATATCTGAGTAATTATTTCAAATAAATATTGTTTTGTAAAAAAACAAAAATTTCAAGTAAAGTTTTTGAAAAATGCATTATAGGAAAACAGTTTTTAACAGTAATCTGAATCTAAAATATCAACTGATTTTGAAAAGTATGAAGAATGGGTAGGGAAGAAGATAGGTGATATTGTGCTAATTTCCAAACTGTTTAAGAAATTATTCAGTATAAATTATAATATTACTTCGATGTGGATACTTGTAGAAAAATTTATTCTACTTATATTATTTAACTTTTAATATTAATTCCTTTAATAGTAAGCACAAATAGCATGTACTTTTTCAAATATATATGTATGTATGTATCTATCTATCTATCTATCTTTACCCCCAAATAAGAAAAAAAAGAATGAAGCTATTATTCAAAAGAAAAAAAAAGCAAACAAAAATGGATAAGAAATTATATAGAACAAAAATATTTTTAAGAAAGTTTTCAGAAGCAGAATAAAACATATCAATTACTAAAATAACTATTGATAGGCATATATCTCCTATAAAAAGATGTTCAGATTGATTTAAGAAGCAAAAGAATGTTATTAAGAGGCAAGAAATAGCACCATGAAAAAGCTATTACCTCTTTTATTCAATATTTTTTCAGAAAGTTCTACAAAATGAAATATGCCATGTCCTCCAACCAATAAATATGGTAGATACCTAACTGTCCTTATGAAAACCTCAAGACAACTAAGCATTTGTTAGAAATAATATGGAAATTTCTTAAGATGATCAATAATTAACCAATTTCCATTTAGTCACTTTGTTCTCTTTCCCTCTATGGAACATACTGTCTGTTGGGTATCATCAGGATACCCACTTCTAAACAAGAAGATTTCACTCCAGTACATCTGAACACTTCTGCTCCCACCATTTGAGATTTTTGCTTGTGAAGTCAACTGTGTTTGTTTCCAACTGTCAATAAACCAGTAGGAGTGATGGCTCATGCCTGTAATCCCAGCAATTTGGGAGGCCAAGGTGAGCAGATCACTGGAGGTCAGGAGTTTGACACTGGCCTGACCAACATAGTGAAACGCTGTCTCGATTAAAAATACAAAATTAGCCAGACATGGCAGCACACAACTGTCATCCCAGCTACTTGGGAGGCTGAGGCAGGAGAATCTCTTGAATCTGGGAGGCAGAGTTTGCAGTGAGTCAGGATTGCACCATTGCACTCCAGCTTGGGCAATGAAAGAAAAACTGGCTCAATACATACATACACCAAGTACTTTTAATATTGGAGAAGTTAATAATGCATGAAATGTTGTATACATGATTGAACTATGAACGTTACAGGATTCTTTCAATCGATATCAATGTAAATATTTTGAAATTATTTGACAAAAATTGGTTGCAAACAAATAACTTGCTGATGAATTAGCTAAGATGGGCAGAGCTACTATATATGTTTGAGGGAAAAAATCATAAAAATCTTGGATAATGTAGCATGCATTTTGTTTCATAAGAGTCTTTAAAGACATTGATATTGCAAATTGTAGACAATGATTTGGGAATACAGAACTGGAAAAAACCACCTTAAACTTCATATGGAACCAAAAGAGAGCCTGCATAGCCAAGTAAATTCTAAGCAAAAAGAACAAAGCTGGAGGCACCACACTACTTGACTTCAAACTATACTACAAGGCTACAGTAATCAAAACAGCGTGGTACTGGTATCAAAACAGAGATATAGACCAATGGAACAGAACAGACGCCTCAGGGGCAATGCCACACATCTACAACCAACTGATCTTTGACAAACCTGACAAAAACAAGCAATGGGGAAAGGATTCCCTGTTTAATAAATGGTGTTGGGAAAACTGGCTAGCCATGTGCAGAAAGCAGAAACTGGACCCCTTCCTGACACTTTACACTAAAATTAACTCCAGTTGGATTAAAGTCTTAAATATAAGACCTAACACCATAAAAACCCCAGAAGAAAATCTAGGCAAAACCATTCAGGACATAGGTATAGGCAAGGACTTCATGACCAAAACACCAAAAGCATTGGCAACAAAAGCCCAAATAGACAAATGGGACCTAATCAAACTCCACAGCTTCTGCACAGCAAAAGAAACAGTCATTAGAGTGAATTGGCAATCAACGGAATGGGAAAAAATTTTTCAATCTACCCATCTGACAAAGGGCTAATATCCAGAATCTGCAAAGAACTAAAACAGATTTATAAGAAAAAAACAAAGAAGCCCATTCAAAAGTGGGCGAGGGATATGAACAGACATATATGAGGCCAACAAACATATGAAAAAATGCTCATCATCACTGGTCATTAGAGAAATGCAAATCAAAACTACATTGAGATACCATCTCATGCCAGTTAGAATGGTGATCATTAAAAAATCTGGAGACAACAGATGCTGGAGATGATGTGGAGAAATAGGAACACTTTTACACTGTTGGTGGGAGTGTAAATTAGTTCAACCACTGTGGAAGACAGTGTGGCGATTCCTCAAGGACCTAGAAATAGAAATACCATTTGACCCAGCAATCCCATTACTGGGTATATATCCAAAGGTTTATAAATCATTCCATTATAAGGACACATGCACACAAATGTTCATTGCAGCACCGTTTACAATAGCAAAGACCTGGAACCAACCCAAATGCCCATCGATGATAGACTGGACAGGGAAAATGTGGCATATATACGCCATGGAATACTATGCAGCCATCAAAAACGATAAGTTTGTGTCCTTTGTAGGGACATGGATGAACCTGGAAACCATCATTCTCAGCAAAGTGACAGAAGAACAGAAATTCAAACACTGCATGTTCTCACTCATAGGCAGGTTTTGAACAATGAGAACACATGGACACAGGGAGGGGAGCATCACATACTGGGGTCAGT